AGAGTGTTCAAGAAACACAATGTCGTCAAGGCTAATTTGTGTGTGATGTGGAAGGCAAATAGTAAGGCATGGGTCACTAGGGACATTTTCTATGATTGGTTCTATCGTGTTTGGCCCCACTGTGAAAAATTACCTCCTGGAAAATAAATTGGACCTCAAGTGCCTCCTGGTATTAGACAATGCTCCTGCTCATCCTTCAGACTTGCCAGAACGAATTGTGGGGGACTTGAGCTTTATTGAAGTAAAGTTTTTGCCTCCTAACACCACTCCTCTCCTCCAGCCCATGGACCAGCAGGTCATTTCAAATTTCAAAAAACTGTACACCAAAGCAGTGTTTCAAAAGTGCTTTGAAGTGACCTCAGACACTCAGTTGACCCTAAGAGAGTTTTGGAAAGATCACTTTAGTATCCTCAGTTGCATAAACCTTATAGGTAAGGCTTGGGAGGGAGTGACTAACAGGACCTTGAACTCTGCTTGGAGGAAATTGTGGCCAGAATGTGTACAAGAGAGGGATTTTGAAGGGTTTGGGGCTAACCCTGAGGAGCCTATGCCAGTTGTGGAATCTATTGTGTCATTGGGGAAGTCCATCGGGTTGGAGGTTAGTGGGGAGGATGTGGAAGAGTTGGTGGAGGACAGTGATGAAGAACTAACCACTGATGAGCTGCAAGAGCATCTGCAACAGCAAGAGACCGCAACTGAGGAAATTGCTTCAGAGGAGGGGAGAGAGAAACGGAGGAAGTTGCCGTTTTCAATGATTAAGGAAATTTGTGCAAAGTGGATTGATGTGCAAACCTTTATGGATGAAAATCCCCCTGACACAGCTATTGCAAGCTGTGCTGGTGACTTTTACAGTGACAATGTTGTGGCCCATTTTAGGAAAATCTTAAAGGAACACCAGGTACAGAGCTCTATGGACAAATTTTTTTGTGCGACAGAGGTCCAGCGACTGTCAAGTTATTCCCGGTGGCATTAAAAAAAGAAGGGAAGTAACCCTGGAAAAGGACTTGGTACCTAAAGTCCTTATGGAAGGGGATTCCCCTTCCAAAAAATAATACACCTCCATCTCACTCCTCACATCTCATCACTCACCAATAAATCTTCAACAAAGGTAAGTGTCATTTATTCTTCATGTAGTATTTATTGTGCATGTATCTTTTTTTTTCTCTGTAGGGAAATGTATATTTCATGTAAAAAAAAAAAAAAATTTTCTTACTTTTGGGTGTCTGGAACAGATTAATTGGATTTCCATTATTTCTTATGGGGAAAATTAATTCAGCTAACAATAAATTCGGCTAAGGACAAGCTCTCTGAAACGGATTAATATTGTTGGTCGAGGGTCCACTGTACAGTGGTGCCCCGAGTTTCAGTCTCCTCCCAACTCAAACAGTTAGGTAAGTACATTATTGTAAGTGCTTTTATGAGTGTATTTTTGGGGGTTTGAAATGGACTAATCTAATTTACATTATTCCTTATGGGAACAAATTCATTCAGTAATGGCACTTGAACAGCCTTCTGGAACGAATTAAGGCTGAAACTCGGGGTTCCACTGTATCATGCCAAGATAATTTGAATCCCATTATTGAATGTACCATTTGTAATAATATTAAATAATTTGGACTACCTAACGTGTATGCACCTGGAGAAGAGAGGAATGCAGAGGAGAGAGAGAGATTTTGGGAGATGTTAAGTGAATGTATAGGAGCCTTTGAACCAAGTGAGAGAGTAATTGTGGTAGGGGACCTGAATGCTAAAGTAGGAGAAACTTTTAGAGAGGGTGTGGTAGGTAAGTTTGGGGTGCCAGGTGTAAATGATAATGGGAGCCCTTTGATTGAACTTTGTATAGAAAGGGGTTTAGTTATAGGTAATACATATTTTAAGAAAAAGAGGATAAATAAGTATACACGATATGATGTAGGGCGAAATGACAGTAGTTTGTTGGATTATGTATTGGTAGATAAAAGACTGTTGAGTAGACTTCAGGATGTACATGTTTATAGAGGGGCCACAGATATATCAGATCACTTTCTAGTTGTAGCTACACTGAGAGTAAAAGGTAGATGGGATACAAGGAGAATAGAAGCATCAGGGAAGAGAGAGGTGAAGGTTTATAAACTAAAAGAGGAGGCAGTTAGGGTAAGATATAAACAGCTATTGGAGGATAGATGGGCTAATGAGAGCATAGGCAATGGGGTCGAAGAGGTATGGGGTAGGTTTAAAAATGTAGTGTTAGAGTGTTCAGCAGAAGTTTGTGGTTACAGGAAAGTGGGTGCAGGAGGGAAGAGGAGCGATTGGTGGAATGATGATGTAAAGAGAGTAGTAAGGGAGAAAAAGTTAGCATATGAGAAGTTTTTACAAAGTAGTGATGCAAGGAGGGAAGAGTATATGGAGAAAAAGAGAGAGGTTAAGAGAGTGGTGAAGCAATGTAAAAAGAGAGCAAATGAGAGAGTGGGTGAGATGTTATCAACAAATTTTGTTGAAAATAAGAAAAAGTTTTGGAGTGAGATTAACAAGTTAAGAAAGCCTAGAGAACAAATGGATTTGTCAGTTAAAAATAGGAGAGGAGAGTTATTAAATGGAGAGTTAGAGGTATTGGGAAGATGGAGGGAATATTTTGAGGAATTGTTAAATGTTGATGAAGATAGGGAAGCTGTGATTTCGTGTATAGGGCAAGGAGGAATAACATCTTGTAGGAGTGAGGAAGAGCCAGTTGTGAGTGTGGGGGAAGTTCGTGAGGCAGTAGGTAAAATGAAAGGGGGTAAGGCAGCCGGGATTGATGGGATAAAGATAGAAATGTTAAAAGCAGGTGGGGATATAGTTTTGGAGTGGTTGGTGCAATTATTTAATAAATGTATGGAAGAGGGTAAGGTACCTAGTGATTGGCAGAGAGCATGCATAGTTCCTTTGTATAAAGGCAAAGGGGATAAAAGAGAGTGCAAAAATTATAGGGGGATAAGTCTGTTGAGTGTACCTGGTAAAGTGTATGGTAGAGTTATAATTGAAAGAATTAAGAGTAAGACGGAGAATAGGATAGCAGATGAACAAGGAGGCTTTAGGAAAGGTAGGGGGTGTGTGGACCAGGTGTTTACAGTGAAACATATAAGTGAACAGTATTTAGATAAGGCTAAAGAGGTCTTTGTGGCATTTATGGATTTGGAAAAGGCGTATGACAGGGTGGATAGGGGGGCAATGTGGCAGATGTTGCAAGTGTATGGTGTAGGAGGTAGGTTACTGAAAGCAGTGAAGAGTTTTTACGAGGATAGTGAGGCTCAAGTTAGAGTATGTAGGAAAGAGGGAAATTTTTTCCCAGTAAAAGTAGGCCTTAGACAAGGATGTGTGATGTCACCGTGGTTGTTTAATATATTTATAGATGGGGTTGTAAGAGAAGTAAATGCGAGGGTCTTGGCAAGAGGCGTGGAGTTAAAAGATAAAGAATCACACACAAAGTGGGAGTTGTCACAGCTGCTCTTTGCTGATGACACTGTGCTTTTGGGAGATTCTGAAGAGAAGCTGCAGAGATTGGTGGATGAATTTGGTAGGGTGTGCAAAAGAAGAAAATTAAAGGTGAATACAGGAAAGAGTAAGGTTATGAGGATAACAAAAAGATTAGGTGATGAAAGATTGAATATCAGATTGGAGGGAGAGAGTATGGAGGAGGTGAACGTATTCAGATATTTGGGAGTGGACGTGTCAGCGGATGGGTCTATGAAAGAAGAGGTGAATCATAGAATTGATGAGGGAAAAAGAGTGAGTGGTGCACTTAGGAGTCTGTGGAGACAAAGAACTTTGTCCTTAGAGGCAAAGAGGGGAATGTATGAGAGTATAGTTTTACCAACGCTCTTATATGGGTGTGAAGCGTGGGTGATGAATGTTGCAGCGAGGAGAAGGCTGGAGGCAGTGGAGATGTCATGTCTGAGGGCAATGTGTGGTGTGAATATAATGCAGAGAATTCGTAGTTTGGAAGTTAGGAGGAGGTGCGGGATTACCAAAACTGTTGTCCAGAGGGCTGAGGAAGGGTTGTTGAGGTGGTTCGGACATGTAGAGAGAATGGAGCGAAACAGAATGACTTCAAGAGTGTATCAGTCTGTAGTGGAAGGAAGGCGGGGTAGGGGTCGGCCTAGGAAGGGTTGGAGGGAGGGGGTAAAGGAGGTTTTGTGTGCGAGGGGCTTGGACTTCCAGCAGGCATGCGTGAGCGTGTTTGATAGGAGTGAATGGAGACAAATGGTTTTTAATACTTGACGTGCTGTTGGAGTGTGAGCAAAGTAACATTTATGAAGGGATTCAGGGAAACCGGCAGGCTGGACTTGAGTCCTGGAGATGGGAAGTACAGTGCCTGCACTCTGAAGGAGGGGTGTTAATGTTGCAGTTTAAAAACTGTAGTGTAAAGCACCCTTCTGGCAAGACAGTGATGGAGTGAATGATGGTGAAAGTTTTTCTTTTTCGGGCCACCCTGCCTTGGTGGGAATCGGCCAGTGTGATAATAATAACCTAACTATTTTAAACCTAATTATGTATGTACCTAACTGGGAATGTATCTAATCACGTACCTAATAATATGTTCAAATGTACTGCTCAAATATAACCTCTATCAAAATGGCATAAGAATTAGTATTAGTCTGCCGAAGTGCCTAGGCACAGTAGTGGCCATCTTTGTCATTAAAATCTTATAACATGTAAACCACACATTGTAAGCTTTACAAGGAAATAAATATTTGCATTTGTATTTGTTCTTTGTTGATACTGTTCCTAAAATTCCTCTCCTTAAATTCTTTAATTATGGAATTGTGATTAATTCTGTATATTGATATATTAAAAATACAGTAATTATAAATTTTCTTTGCTCTAGAAAAGATTTTGTTATATCACACTTTGTTCTTGACACCTTGCCCCTCCATTTTGTGAAATTTAATCCTTAGAAACTTTTACTATGATTATTATTATTATTATTATTATTATTATTATTATTATTATATTAAAATATTAAATAATTCTTCACTTCTCAGGGTCCCAGTTATTTTCTGGAAAATGGAGAATCAGTGATGGGACAGAATGATGCACTCATGTGGGCTAAAGTTCATCCTTATTCACCTCTCGGCACAGGACATCGACTTAATCCATTTTGAGTTACATCTAGCCAACCTTCACAATTTTTCTTTAAAAAAGAACAAAAATGTCATTTTTTGTATTAGTATCTGAAGCACTTACCACATGCTAAATAGGTGTTCACATATATTTTTCTGCTAAGTTCAGCTCAGTAATGTTGTAAAGATATAATTACAATATTTAAACGCTACACTAACTGATTATATTGTTAAGGATAATATTTTGTAATTTTATAAGTATTTTACACATTTTTATTCTGCAAGTTTGTTGTCCTTAATAGCACAGGTTTTATAATCCCCCTTATACCTTGTCCAGTTGTCACAAATAGTAATTAATAGGCTTACAAACTTATGAGAAAATTTTAGAAAACTTTTAATAATTAACTTTTGTTTGCAGATGTATAATACATGTACTTGTGTAGAAAATTAACATTTATTTGCAAATATACAATACAATACTTTCATAGGATACCTAGCAGCTCATTTTTTTTTTTTCACACAGATTAATTTTGCAGGCTAAGAGCTGTTGTCCTACCTCAGCTCATTTCAAAACCCAGCCCTGTCTAAGGTATACTACCACCCCTCAGGATGTGACCCACAACATTTGACTAACACCCAGGTACCTACATACTGCTAGGTGAACAGGGGCAGCAGATGTAAGGAAACATTCTCAACATTTCCACTCATGCCAGAAATCAGACCATGGTCACTCAGTATGTGAGCTGAGAGCACTACCAGCAGAGCCATGGTACACCATGTAAAACTAGCAAATCCAGTTACACCTTACTGAAACTGTTACTCTTTCAGTTTTCTTTATAATAAATATTATAGCAGCCTGCAAGCAGTAATGGCAATGTATTAATTTTTGAAGATATTGAAAAGAATCCATTACCATTTAAAAATCTATACATTCATACATACAGTAGACATCATAAATATGCACACACATGAACAGGTCATGCAGAAAACAAAACTCCTTGCTGTAACCTATTGTTTTAAATATGTAATACTGAAATATGCATATATTCCTCACTGCAACTAGTATATTGTACGATTACCCTTCCTCTGATGTACTCCTTAAGTCTCCTAGGCATTGATAAGATTAATTTATAGAGGATAGAAAAGTCGATACCCTCCCATATGTGCCTAATGTCACTTGAGATTTTGGGGTTAGGGGACATGTCCTTGCCACAAAAATAATGCTTTTGGCAGGATGGCAAGGGACACTTGTCTTCCATACAAAAGTTACCCTGGTACTTCTCAAATTTGTCAGGCAAAGTCTGCTAAAGGCATACTTATAGGCATGCAAATTTATGACACTTACTGTATGTTAGCCAACAAGCTTTGTTGTTGTCTGTCTCTGTTTTTCTGTCTATTTATATCTTTATCTCTCCCTTGCTCTAGCACACTCACTTATGCTCTCACTTACTGATTCTCACTTACATTTTTATTACAAAAAAATTGATGATTATAGCAAATCTTTTAGTTATTTTGAGTTTATGAATTTGATAAATGAATGAATTCAGAGATCAAAGCAGTTAAGAGTCATTATTTGAAGCTCTTCCTGTTAGTAATTATTTTAAGGAAAGAACATTTATACATGTTTTACAAGAATGTTGCCAGTGTCAAGCCAAGGCTTAACACACCTCCTCCTCCTCCTCCTCTCCTCCTCCTCAGTACTTTACTGAAGAAATAATCTTATGAAGATGAACTTAGACTACACCAGGGCCAAAGCTAATGCAAATCTTTTAATGTATTTTTTAGCTATTTTAAATGTTATATAGAGATATTAATAAAATCTTAGTCGTATGATAGTTTTTTCGCATTGCCAGTTTTATACACAGAGCCCTCGTTGCCTTAAGTGTTCTTTGAAATGTTCATTTTCATTATTTTTATAACACACTTTCTATCTTCCACCTTTGTAGGGTTATCATCCTCATTTGTTATCATCAGTAGTTGTCATCATCAATTGTTAGAGTCATTTTATATTGCACACATTAACTAAAGATGTCAGAGGAATATAATTTCATTAAGTTTCGGTATGTATATGCTACAGTGAGCAGAATAATCTTGCAGGTATCAGCACAGAGTAGAAATAATACCCTACCATAGTAGGTTTATCCCAAAGAAAGAAAATATATTTATCATTGCACATTCCTTACCTGTTTTTTTTTGGTTTTTGTTTTTTTTGAAGGAACACAGTATCACAATAAATTGTTACATAAATTGATTTGAATTGGCAAACCATGGATAGTGAATTTTTGCTACAGCTATTCTTGTCATTTTTCATGGTTGATATGAATGAATAACTTAATTGTACCCTTGAGTGGTAGTGTGAACAGTCATTTTAATGTAAATATGACAGATCTCTACACAACATAAAAACTTCTTAAACAATATTTATACAAAATAATGTAAATGATTAGCTAGTTACACAAAAGAATGTAAATGATTAGCTACACTTTATATAAGGACTATAAGAGATTTCATGAGCATATTACTTGAGATAATTCTATATGTTTATCAGTGTCAGTGCATGCAATTTTTAAAGATGTAGTGTAAGCTTTTTCCTGGTGGCAAGATAAAGTGGACAAAAACATGTGAAAGGACTGCAGACTTGAATAATAGGATATGTTTGTATCAGGTGACTTCGAGAACAATTAAAAAATAGCCCAGACTTAGATGAAAGTGTAGACAACAATTACTACAGCAACTGCTAAAATGACAACTTTGATGATGACTACTACTATAACAATGAGTATTACAACATCAAGATCCATAACGAGTACTACAAAAACAATGATGACATCTACTACAATGAAGACTACCACAAAAACAATTACTATGACAAAGACTAGTATGATGACTACTACGGCAGTGACTACTATTATGATGATGACTATAACAACTACAACAATGACTGCTGTGATGAACACTACTGCAACAACAACCAAGACAACTACGACGATGATGACTACTGCTGCTGCTGCCACCGCTGCTGCCAATGGCACAACCACTACCACAACAACAGCAACGTAGTTGTGTGGCTACATTGGTACATTTTGTCAGAGAGGTCTGGGGGATCAGTTCTCATATAATTTTTTTTTTCAACGAACTGGCAGGGTGGCCCAAAAAGAAAAACAAAAGTTTTTCTTTTTAAATTTTGTAATTTATACAAGAGAAGGGGTTACTAGCCCCTTGCCCCCGGCATTTTAGTCGCCTCTTACAACACGCATGGCTTACGGAGGAAGAATTCTGTTCCACTTCCCCACGGAGATAAGAGGAAATAAACAAGAACAAGAACTAGAAAGAAAATAGCAGAAAACCCAGAGGGGTGTTTATATATATGCTTGTACATGTATGCGTAGTGTGACCAAAGTGTAAGTAGAAGTAGCAAGACATACCTGAAATCTTGCATGTGTATGAGACAAAAAAAAAGACGCTAGCAATCCTACCATCGTGTAAAACAATTACAGGCTTCCGTTTTACACTAACTTGGCAGGACGGTAGTACCTCCCTGGGTGGTTGCTGTCTACCAGCCTACTACCTGTTCATATAAATATAGTAGCTAATGTGTTCTAACATTTAATTTAATTACCACCGCTACCATCACTACAGCTACTGCTACTACTTTACCACCATTATCTCCTCCTCCTCCTTCCCTCTTCCTGACCTGTCTTCTGATTTTGTTGTTCCTTGCTCACTTTTGACTTGATAATGGTCCAGGATGGACTGAAACATTGTCCAAAATTTCATCCCTGAGTGGAGGATGTTAGTGAAACTAATGAAAAAAGCAGTAAACCCACAGTAGCTACAAGTAAGTAATAGGATGAAAAAAAATTAAGACAGTGAGTAGATATGACAAATCAGCTAGTGAGAAATGCACTTGAAGTGACTGAAAATACCATTGGAGCCAGTTTGCTATTGTGGCGTTAATGATTAATTTTTTTTGCGTGAAGATTAATAGTTGATACTTTACTATTCACTGACACTGCTGAAATTCTACAGTATGTGTTTAGCTTAAGTTTAGCGATAACACACCAGTTTACTATAATTTTACCGAGTGTGAAAGATAGTATTTTATATAATGCAAGGTATGACTGAGAATGTCAAGTCAGGTGTCACTGAGTATCCTTTTATGGCTTTCATATACAGTGAAGGTCCTGTTATCTGATTTTCAACTTCATATTATTACTGCTGTGTCCCAGTTGTATTTTAGTCACCACTTTGTAGGGATATAATCATTGTGTGGGCTACCAGTACTGATAAGCCATTCTGTTCAGGTAACCTAATTTTTTCATTATTCCAAGTACTTCAGGTCTCTCAGGGCCAGATAAGAGGTCCTATATTGTTTTGATTTCTGTGGTTTGTATATGATGTGTCAAATTCTCTCCAAACTCTCACTAGCTTTACACCTACTCTCATGACATTTCCACCTTTATAATGCTGCATTCATTAATAAATCATTTCATTGCATTTTATAAAAAAGTCACATAATGTAATATGCTCATTAAATCTCTGCTTTTAATTAACTATTTAGTCTAGTTGGTCTTTGTTAATGAAAACAGTTTTTGTCAGAGATACTTGCAAGGGGTAATGTTTACTATATTATTGTAATTATTACTGTAAGATTAGTAAACCTACTTAATTTTGAGCTTATGGTAGATGCCTAATTTTAGTGATCAGTTTGAGCTTTAGATGTACAGTTATATCTATTGATATAAAAGTGAGTAGCAAGTTCATGTTATCCAATTAAATGTATAATTAAATACTTATAAAATACAGTATAACAATATTTAACAAGTTCTTTGCATTGCTATTAAAATTGCATTAAAAGTAAATTGAAAAATACTGATTATGAAACATCTTTAATTCATAGAAGTTAAGTACATATAATTTTTAAGAATTGAGATAATTTTATTAAGAGAGTTATCCATATAAAAAAATATATTAGGATAAAATTCTTTTTTGGTGTATCAGGTTTAAGAACTAAATAAGTCTGCAGGGCATTTGTTTAGTTATTTGGCAAATAGTTACAATATTAATGTTATATTTTGTTGAACCTATTGTGGCATTTTCTAGGTAAATGCTCATCATTTTACTTTTATTAAGGATGAGCTTTCTTTAAACTAAATTTCAATAAGATTGTTTTTGTCATTTGGCAACCTGTCCAAACCATTCATGAAAAAATGTTTTGTTTTCAGTGGCATAAACATTTTCAGGCACCACCACATAGCTAGAAGTTTTCTGCCAGTTAATGTAGTTTGCTTATTTGACAGTTAATCAACACACACACACACACACACACACACACACACACACAACACGACACAACACACACACACAATACACACACACACAACACACCCACACACACACACACAACCACACACACATCACACACACACAACACACACAACACACACACACATAACAACACAACACACACACACACACACACACACACACACACAACACACACACACACACACACACTACACACACACACACACACACACACACACACACACACACACACACACACACACACACACACACACACACATGTATAGGTTAGGTGTCATTAAATTAATAAAACATAACCTAAAATGAAAAAAAAAAAGAGGTTTGGAATGAGGACAGGTTGCAAATAGACTATTTTTGTTCAGATAATAATACAATAAAAGTAAACTAGTTGAGCTGTTTAAAATGCATTACAAAGTCTAAATGTAATATTTGTATGATAATCATTCATACCTAAAACTAATTGGGAAAGTAAATACAGTATGCATTATTCTGTGATTTACAGGAAAGCATATTGCTATTCAGATGTTAAATTTAATTTTCATTTAAAGAAAACTGCTTCCCAGCTGTAAAATAGTTGATAAGTATATATTTAGAAACAGTAATTTTAATTAGGATTAAGGGAAGAGTACCATAGCTTATTCCTGGCAACAAAAAACTTCAAAGATAGATACAGAGAGGAGCTTTTGTACCCCAAGGAAGTACCAAAGATTCTGATCTCAGACACACTGTAGATTTGCATAGTAATTATACAGTAGACAGCTGGCTGTTGTAGTTAAGATTTTTTATATTATGTAAATATTGGAAGTTTCCAGCTGAGCACATAAATGTGATTACCTTGTCAATATCCTGATAAATGCAGGATGTCATATTTCCTCACTGATTTTATTCCCTGCTATTGTGCCTTGTAGTCTATAGCAATCCCTCCAGTAAGTCCCTCCATAAATATGTTACTTGTTATTTAATATAAACATGTCATCAAATGTTACAAATTTTTATTAAAATATAATATTGTTGAGGATGTTGAACACAAACAACAAAGCTATTTTAAAAATACATGTATATATATATACATACACAAATATATATACATACACACAAACACATATGCAAGATTATGAAGATTTGGGAAAGGGTCAAGAAGATCAGACATGGGGTAAGACATGGAGGACAGAGGCTTCACTCACAGAGAAAGATCTAGGGGTAACCATAGTGCTTGGTGCATCATTAGATGCTCACATCACCCCCAACAACCTCTGGGAAATCTCAGAGTAGCTTCAGAAATTTCAGCAGTGTGTCATTCAGAGCCCTTTATAGAACATATATCAGGCCAATGTTGGAACATGCAGCACCAGTATGGAGCCCACACTTGAAAAAAAACATAGTAAGAAACAAAGTACAGATGTATGCAACAAGACTTGTTCCAGAACTAAGGGGCATTAAGCTACTAGGAGAAGCTAACAGAACTGAGTTTAATAAGATTGGAGGACAGAAGAACCAGGGAAAACATAATAACAACATACAAAAAACTGTTGCAGAGGGCATAGTAAAGCAAGTTTAGAGTACCATGGGTAAATGATGATGAGGAGCTTCTAATTGAACTGTATAAAAGAGTTTTGATAATAGGTAATACATATTTTAAGAAAAAGATGACAAATAAGTAAATAAGATACAATTTAGGTCATAATGACAGCAGTTTGTTATATGTACTCTGTTTTAGGAAATAAAAGTTGATGGGTAGACTTCAGGATTCTCATGTGTTTAGAGGGGCAATAGATATATCAGATCATCATTTGGTGGTAGCATAGTGAGAGTAAGAGGTAGATGGAATATAAGAGGAATGTCATCAGTGGATAAATTATTAAATTAGAGGAGATACTAAGGATAAAATATAAGCAACTATTGGGAGAAAGGTGGACTAAGAGAGAGAGTATATGTGTGTGTGAGAGAGAGAGCGAGAGTACTGGTAATCAGGAGGGAGTTGAAGTATGGGGTAAAATTATGAATGTAATGTTAGAGTGTGTGGGTGGAGGAGGGACAGAGCAATCAGTGTACATCAGGCCCATATTGGAGTATGCAGCACTAGTATGGAGCCCACGTCTGGTCAAGCATGTCGAAAAAGAGAAAGTACAAAGGTTTGCAACAAGACTAGTCTTGGAGCTAAGGAGTATGTCATATGAGGAGAGCTTAAGGGAACTGAACCTGATGACACTGAAGGACAGGAGGGATATGAGGGACATTATAACGACATGTAAAATAAGAGGAATTGACAAGGTGGACAGGGCCAAAATGTTTTAGAGATAGAACAAGGGGACATAACTGGAAGTTGAAAACTCAGATGAGTCATAGGGACATTAGGAAGTATTTCTACAGCCTTAGAGTTGGCAGGAAGTGGAACAATCTGGAGAGAAGTAGTGAAGGCAGAATTCATACATAATAAGAAGAGGTACAATAAGGCTCTTGGAGCAGAGAGAGGATAGACCTAGTAGTGACTAGCAAGAGGTGGGGGCCAGGAGCTGTGACTAGACCTCTGCAATCATGTATAGGTGAGTACACACATTCACTAGTGCACACACACACACACAAACATGTATACACATGCAGGCTTGTGCACACACACACACACACACACTTGCACTCATATACACACATTTACTCAAACACATACACACACATTCTTTCACTAATATATACAGTGGAACTCCGAATTTTGGTCTAAATCCGAAACGTACGAAAATCGAAGTAACAGTTCCCATAAGAAATAATGTAAATCCAATTAATCCGTTTCAGACACCCAAAAGTATTAACAAAAAAATACATTTTATAGAGAATAACTATAGTTTTACATACAGAAAACAATGAAAAATAAATATAAAGGACTAATGATATGGATAAATGAACATTTAAATCACTTTTACCTTCATTGAAGAGTCGTCTTGTTGGCATATGGAAGACAGTGAGGAGGGGAGAGGGAGGAGAGTTTATTGTTTGAAGACAGGACAAAATACTTGAATATGACACTAATATCAACTCTCTGGCTTATTTATCTATCACAGTTCATCTAATATGACATAAACAATATTAATAACATAGAAACATGATATATACTGTAGAATGAATAAAATATGTCATTACATGTGTGATTAGTGGTAGCTGCGGCAGCTGCCATTCTCTCTCCTGCTGTAACTACATATCTTCCCATTATTAAGGAAAAATGGAGTGTTTGTGAGGTTAACTGCACTACATCAGTTTCATAGGAACATTGAAACAATGTATGCAATTTATAAATAAGAAATATTGTATAAAAACATAATAGAGAATGTAAAGAAATAGTGGTTATTGTATGTATACTATAGTACACACTTACCTTGGAGGAGATGCTGGCAGAGGTTTAGGGTGGTGGAAAATAGCGCAGGGCAGCGTATGTTGTCACTGGCCCTATAAACCTCCAACACCATTGGGGGAGTTAGTTTCATGTCATCCTTTTTCCGTTGCTTAATCACTTAGCTTAGTTGCTGCACTCTTAATGCTACACTTTATTGCTGGCTGGTGCTATAGCCTTTATCGACTCCTGCTGCTTTAGTATTTTACATATCTTAGAATCACTGAAGAATTCTATCATGTTTTTTGCCTTTATCAAAGGGCTGGCACTCTGAACTTCCTTTGACCCCATGGTGGCTTATTTAGCAGTCACAGGCACAAAAAAACAATGGATTATTACTCAATGTTTCGGATGAATGCTCAGAGTAATGTTTACTCAATGAATAACAAAGGCAGACTGAGTCACAAACATGAGCAGACTTGTCTGATACATATGATTTCTGGATGGAGGTACAAAATCCGGACCAAAATTTCACCCCAAAAACTGTTCTAAATCCGAATTGTACGATATGCGGACTGTATAAAAACCGGAGTTCCACTGTATGTAATATTAAATGAAATAGTCATTGCAAATAGTTATCAGTTAATGAGCTTTCATAAATATATGTCAAATAAAAGAAAGTCTCCAGGTTACATTCAGGTGTAGATGTTACTGTAATATGCCTTGCAACTTTTTTATGCTTTAGAAACATTCACAATTAGAAGCTAAAGCAGTACTGTATGTGTTGGGAGTACTGAGAGCTGGTCCAAGGATCAACTTGTTGCCAGGTGCGCACATTACCACTGGGCCAAAACTGCGAAAAAACATGTTTATTATGTTTTCATTTTCATATACCATACTGTATTATAATTGTAAAATATATCTGTAAGAATTTATTACAATATATGGGATTCCCTTTATAAGTCACAGGTTTCCTGTGCCCCAGGAGTGCCACCGAATATGGTTATTATCAAGTGAATGCTGTTGAATAACATCTCCCTTCTTTTTAGGTTATGGGAGTTTTTCTATAATATTGTAACGTTAAAATTTAAATGCATTCAAAAGAAACTGTTATTAAAACAAACCCTTCTTCCAGTTTACTCCAGCCTCCCCACCCACGCTTGTATGTTATAGTCACCATTTTATCATCTTCACTTACACTCTTCACATACTTTATTAATTCCCAAGGGTAATTTGATGTCATTGTGAAAAAATACAGAATTTAAGATTTGGATTGATATAAAGAACAGCATATTTGTTAATATTGTAATAATAATGCTATAGAACAATCAAAGATAAAGTGTATTTATATTTGGGCTTGTATTTCAAAGACCATACTTCTTTACACAACACATGATATACTTTACTTATTACTTTACATTCAAAATAAAGAAATGCCTAAAACAGAGATTTGGTTATGGTTTGAAATGCACTGAGAAGATTTTTAATAAAATACTATGGGTAGGTGTCGATATAGGGGTAATGTGTCAAAATAAATGGGCACCACAAAAATAGATAATCGTGGTTATTTGTGAGACGGTCTTCAGTAAAATCATTGTGTAATCAAATGTAATACAATATAAACCTCATAGATTGGTAGAT